ATATATGCATGTAGTTGTGAATTTTTTCCATATGTTGTGTCCAATAGTTTTTTACTTGGAAAAGATTTTTATTGAAAAATTTGTATGCATTCATTCTTTTTCTTTAACTTATGTCTTGAAACCATAATGCTTATTGATGTTCTTAGGAAGCTGAATCACTGATTCAAGAGTTGCAAAACGAATCGATTTTAAGTGATGTGATTTTGAATCAGGCGTTGGAGGCTGCTAAAAGGGTAACTGTTTATTGTTTTTTAATGCATAGATTTTACAATTATTTTGGATATTGTCATTTCAATTTCAATGTTAATAGTGCTGAAATTTTATTGCCTCGAGATTTCGTAGTAAAATGGAAGAAAAAATTTTCTTTCTAGTATTTCCAAATTCAACTTTCATTTATAAACATATTTTGAATTCCATGGAAGTACATAATGAATGCCTACAATCCGCAGTTGCCAAAATTAAGCGGAAACTGAAGCTACTCCATTAAGGATGCTGAGCAGCAAAATCGTAGCAGGGATGCATCGCCATGTCGCGAAAGTGAAGAAATTAGGTTAGTGGCGAATGCAGATCAGATAACACAAGACTCACGCGATGATTCACGTGAAGGTAATTTGCATCATGTTTTTATTTTGCTAATTTGTTGAGGTTATATGAAACATTCGGGAAAAAATAAACAAAATTGCAGTATCACCGCCTGCATCAACGCACAAGATTCGTCGCCGTACAGCTACACCAAGTGAATTACTGTATCCGCTGAAGGAATCATTGCAAAGTCAGGTTGCTGATAAAATGCATTTGGAGCAACTCAACGAAGAAATTCCATGTCTGGACCAACAAATTGTTGAGAAAAAGCGATCAATAGAATCTTCTGTTGAAAAAGGACGACTTTCAGACCTAGACGGTGTAAGTAATGTGAATATGGAAGCGAAAAGTGAAGTAACGAAATTAATAGATCTGGATTTGGATGATCGAGGTTCCACTGAGTCACCGTCATCTGGTCGTAGTAGTCGAAGGTTAATATTTCAGCTTTTTGAAAATTGAAATTTTAAAGGAGTGGTTTATGACTTAGAATTATGTTCATCATAATATACGGATATATCATTTAATCTGAATGAATTTTTTTGTTCAAAAGATTTTTTCAGAAAATCGGGCCGTATATTACCGTATGTTTCTCGGACGTTAACAGGGACTCGTGATAAAGTAACAGCTTCGCGTTTGCTTGTACGCACACATACCTTGGATGGACATACTAGAACGGTACTTTCGGTGGACACTAATGGTAGTGTGGTAATCAGCGGCTCAAAAGGTTTGATAATCGTAAAAGATTTACGGTGCAATTCCTTGTTGAGGTTTAGACTTAATTAAAATGTCAACTTTGATGGAGAGAAAACTTTTAAAAACATTGTGGATTGTATTTTAAGATAGGACAGCGAAAGTATGGGATTTGGAAAAAGGTGTTGAGAAATATACGTTTGGTCACCATCCGAACAATGTATCATGTGTACGCTTCATTCCTTCCAGCCAATTAGCCTTGACTTTGTCTATGGCATTTGTTCGTATTTGGGATTTGAGAAATGAGGAATGCGTACGTACGCTACATTCATCAGGTCTTGCAGCTGCAGGTATGTAAAAATTAAATTCAAGTTTTAATACACTTTATTTTAACTACTTAGAATAAATTTTCATTGATTATGACATTTCAGTTGTAGATTACTTTGTTTCTTCTGCGCAGAAGTTAAAATCGTAGTTTTATATTATTTAGGTGATACTATGGCTGCGAATACACCTCGACAAACTGTATTACCCATCTCTGAAACAATGATCAATGCACTGGAATTGGACAACACGGGAAAGTAAATCACTCTATCAGACTAATGTTTTATCGTTTTACAAATAAAATATTACCCGTTTTTAGGCGAGTGTCGTTTTTATAGATACTAATAACGATGCAAGAAAATAGTGCAATTAGAAATTTGGAAATTATGGAGAAGAAAATGCAGACAAAAAATATTAATATTGCATAAATTTGTGAATTTTATTTAAAAGCAAAAATATTTTTTTGCAGGCTTATGTTTACAACGTTCAACAGTGATGTCCGCATTTGGAATTTAGAAAAATTTGCACCATTCGGTCGTTTGTCAGCAGCTACTCATGGCTCGAGGCAGCATACTTTAATGATTCAAATTATCTTATAATCATTATTGAGTTTAAAAATTTTTCAAAGTGTTATTTTGGTATAACATTATCATAAAATTTCTTCCAGAAATTTCAAATCATGGTGGAAAGTGTTGAAACTATTATCCTTTGTTTTTCTTTTCCAGGCTTGTTGAGAGCACTGAAATTTTTTTATGAACGGAATTTAGATCGGAGGTATCATGCCTTGGATTTTTGGGTGGCATAAAACCGAGAATTTTCACTGGCTCTCGTGATCACTACGTTAAAATGTATGAAATTAACGCTGATGGATTAGGTCTCTTCGAAGCTTCGCATGAATTTTCGGCAGCTCATTATGATTGCGTTACGTCCATTGTTGCTTACGGTGATTCCGTATTTTCTGCTTCTAGAGATACGGTTAGTATAATTTTATGATCAGAGTGATTCAGAAATTGATTGGATGTTTCAGTTCCAGAATAAATTTTTTTGCAAACTTCATTTTAGCAATTTTTCTTTCCTCTACCGTGTTATTCTTGTTAAAGTATAAAATATTAAATATTAATAGATTCATGTATATTTTCTGTCAAGGTATTTTAAATCTACTACTTGATTAATAGGTTCACTTATGTTTTCTTAAAAAATCTCAAAGCATACTGACGTTGTGTGTTTTGGGATCTTTTAAGAAAATTCTGATGTCCTTTTTTTTCAGGATATTATGCGCTTCTCATTGCAAGATATGAAGAGGGATCATATTGAATTACAGGCACATAATAAATGGATTCAATCCATGTGTATTCTAGATACATACAGACCTTTATTAGTTACAGCTTGTAAAGAGGGTCGAGTGAAAGTATGGGATATTACGAGCACCCGTAAATTACGTCTCGTTGATCAGGTCTTTTATTTTTTATTTTTAATTTGTATTGGAAATGCTTAATTTGTAGTATTTGCTTTAGTAGCAGGTTAACTGTTAGTACTTATACTTTTAGATTTCCCATGCTCACGAGGAAGCGATCAACGAATTAGCGACCCACTCAGGCATTCTTTTTACTGCTTCTAGGTAATTTTTGTCATTTTTCATTATTGAATGATGAGTTTCTTTTTGTTTTGAAGTATTTTGTTCACTTGACATTTGAGCTGAAATATGCAAATTTTCTGTTGTTAAGCTATTCTTAGTGACGATTGTCAAGATAAATATAAAGTCTGTTTAAATGATCACATCCATCCGCGATAGTCTATATAGGATGACTTTCATAATTTCAAGCTTCATTTTAAATTCTATTACGATGTGGTATATATCCCGTAACACTGTATTTCTTTCTATGTTACAAATGTACGGGTGAAAAAGCACTAAATGGAGGAATTACATGGAAATAAGAAAATTTTAAGATTATGATGTTTGTTTATATTTTTAGTGATACAACTGTCGCCCTTTGGCAGTCTAATTATGAATGAAAAGCTGTGGAACACCTTATGTGTAAATAGCAAAGAACCATGCAGATTTGTATTTGTATCCATTTTATAAGTGAAGAAGGAGTTACATACTCGACGAAAGTGCTGTTTTGATTTTTTGGTTTATCAAAAAACGTTTCTTTTGATTTTTTTTTCAAGCTTCACTCCTATTCAATTGTAGCAGTTTTTAATGACAAATTATTGCGGTGTTATATTTCCACGCTTTATTATTTGAACGTCTCTGTAGATACGATATCATTTTTATCTCATTTTGGAGAACACTGTGATAGATTTAGTTCAGTAATGAGTATGAATTTTGATATTCTATGGGATATATCAGTGCACAGTTTTTCTGGTATTGTATGCATTTTCGAACGTTTTGTCCTCAAAGGTTGTTTTTCATTATTTTAGGGATCGGTTTCGATTTTTTTGTATCACTTCCTTTATTACTGCATTATATGGACTAGATTTTTTTTGAAATTTTCGGGAATGTTTAATAACTTTTTTATAAAGAAATATGTTTCAGTTTCTGTAAAGTAAATGGTCAGATATATTATGTAATCTCTCTGTGTTGTGAATGCTTCAAATGTTTTAAATTTGGGTACACCTTCATTTCACTTACAAAGTTACTCGTTTTATGTACTTCGTTCAAGTCCCTTTTTCGTTTTCTTTTCTCATTTTTTTATAGAGTAAATCATGTGTAACATAATTTATAGTACGTAGTTTTGTTTTGTTCATGTAGATTGACAAAAAATAGTTTTATTTTCTTCATTTGAATTTTGTTACGATTCTTAAATATCCGATATCCAACTTAAATCTCTTCATAAATATGCTCACATCTAAATATTTGATAAATAAGCAAATATGCAAGTCTTTTATGAAATGAAAGTTTGGGCTGCAAACTAAAGAAAATAATTTTTTTTCATTAAACTTTCATTAAACAAATTTCTTTATGTTGGAGTAGCTGTTCCCATTATCATATGTCTGTTTTGCCATACTGTCTCCATTATTTAAATGATTTTCGCACATTGTATTTTGTAAATAAATTTATCCGTTTGGCTTTATCATTTTGCAAATTTCAATTTATGGAAGGTTTCAGTACAAGCTCCGTTTAGGTTAATTAAAGTATAACAAAGTTGCTTTGTAAAATAAAAAACGAGGTCAAAAGTGGCAGGAAGCTTCTGATAGGGATTAACACTGGGCGGTACAGTGAACAAATCTTATAGCTCATGAGTCTTTTTCATTACGGAATTTGAGCCAGGAAATGTTGCGCAGTGTCCAAATATCTATTTTCAGTGACTCAGAAACTCAAATCGTAATGAAAGTTGACTTTGATGTAAATCTATATTTTACGGAAGGAATGCACTTCTTCACTGGTTCTGTTTAAAACTCGTGCTTTCAATTGATCGATTTCAGCTTGCATTCGTTTAATTTCGTTTTTCAATTCATTATTTTTGTTCACAAGAATTGTCAATTCCATTTCTGCTTCTTCTCTGAGCTCCTTTTGTCGTTTTCGATAGCGTATCGCTGCTTTCTTGTTCTGAACAGCGTAGCATGCAGCAGATATTATAAAAATAAAATATGTTCCAAATCCAAATTTAAAATGATAAAGGAACTCATCTTTCCAAAGTTGAAGTTTAAAATGATTCCTTGTTTAAATTAATTTTTATTGTTAAAGAGAATTGTGATTTTATATTTCGCACATATCTGTCATCTGCGTTTTTGTCAGTCTCTTTTGAAAGATACAGGAGTTGAAGTATAAGAGGTCATCATGAACCCATGTTATAGGAAACACGAGCAGTGTGCTACAAAATTAATATCCGAGTTGAAATGTTAAAAATAGAATAAAACCTAATGTCAAGAATAAATGATTTCATTTCAAAATTAGCTGTAATCAAAGGAATTATGTTTGTGCCTCATTGTTTGCATTTAATCTAACTGTTTGGCTTTCATTCATATTCATGAAATGTATGCTTCAAATAAAATATTCACTAATATTTTTGACCTTTCAACAAAACAAGTACTGCTAAAAACTTGAAGTGATGCAGATACTAATTATGTATTATTTAATTTCATACATATTAAATTTTATTTTCCATATATTAAAATTATCATTAACTAATGCAACAGTTCTCTCTCTCATCTTCCCTTTCATCCTTGAGCTTTCTCATGATATACCTAATTTTCTATATCTAAAAGTCATTATATGTTTCGAAAAACTTCGTTAGTACTCACTGCATACAATGATAACCCCGTGCTCTATAAAAAAATCTACCTGTACCTGTAGTCTTTTACGTTTCAATATATCTTCTGGTGAATTTGTTCCATTTTGGTCATTAAGGATTCCACTTTCTTTAACAGCTGCTACCAAGAGTTGAACTAAATCTTGTATTGCTTTGTTGTTACTTTGCTCTGCTGAAAGGCGTGGTTCTGGACCGCATGGATTTGTTGTACCCACCAGTTCGTTAGTGGAGCATCCTACCGATCGCATTTCAGTTGAATTTAACACTGATGGAACCTATGATGAGAACAGAATATTGCAGATGAGTTAGGAAACCAAGAATAAGTAAATTTCAGTACTTATGCTCACCGCAATAATGTTGAATCCTAATTCAAATTCAAATTCGCGATTCCAACTTCAATTTAAGAAACCTTTAAAAACCTTATTTTTTTCCAGTTCAGCGCATTCGCAAACAATTTCGTTGTATATTTCCTGTTTTGTGCGATATTTACGATTGTATGGAGTTAAATCGCTCAGTGCTGGGGTACTGTTATTATTTATGCTGCTCGCTGAGCCACTAACATCATCTTTCACCGATCCTACCCTGCCTATAAGGTTGCTATGTTGGAAATCACTATTTGTCAATCATTATACTAAAAATTCCAAAAAAAAGCACTTTTACTTGTTCCATGTAAATTATTCTACCTGAAATTTTATTTCAAAAAATGGCATGGTTTTAATTAAATTCTCTGACCTTCATTTTTTACTTTACAGCCAAATCCAGGAATAGAACTGAATATGGATCTTTTTGGTAAGTCATCAGCGTCAAATGGATTCGTCATTCTTGTAAACCATGAACAGGTGCTTGAACCATCTTGTCTGCATAGTAATTAAAAATTAGAAACTACTCATTTATAGTAATAGATAAATACAGCGATAAGTACAGTAATACTAGCACTTCAATGGAATCATCTATAGTCTCAAGTCTTTTAATATAACCAATTCTGAATTATAGCAATCCATGAAGATGTCAGAACATCAGACGGAATAATTTATGTAATGAATTTTTCTGGAAAATGCATAATCAATCCAGTTGACTATTAGCGTTATTGCTAATTGGTAGCCTTGACAATTCAGAAGCTTTAATGAGGACGGTAAATGTTAAAAGGAATTTTTCACCATTTCAACATACTTTGACAAATTTTTAGAAAAATGAAAAACGATGAGTAGCGCTCCGTAGTCCAAAGTTACGTAGAATGATTATGGTGCCAATGAAAAAGGACAGCGCCAGCTTATGCGATAACACACGAAAGTAGAAAGCATAAGGAACTGTTCAGTTTTTTTTTACAAAAAAAATAAACTTTGATTACTTTGAAACTTTCTATCACTTTTTGAAAAAAAAAGCAAAACAGTTTTCAGCATTTCAAAAAAACTATTAAAAAAACTCAATATGTCAAAAAAATCTTTCCTCTCTCTCTCTCTCTCTCTCTCTCTCTCTCT